ATAAAATATATGTAAACATATGTTCTGTAAATTTTAGTATTATTGTAGTTTATGCAGGTGATGCCTTCAGAAGGCAGTGTGCTGTGTGTTTTTCCAAGCTATCTTCCAGGTTACCTTTTCTGGTTTAAACGTTGCTGATGTTTGAGATTTACTACTATTTGGAAAGTTTTGTGTGGAGCTGAGTGAGAGAAAATGGTGTTTTGTTAGTCAGTCTCCATAAAGTCCTTGGATGTTAAGCCTAATATTCCTTCTGTTTCTGTCGATGAAACCAGTTTGGTTCTTCTGATGTCTTCAACCACCCCCCCATCCCAAAGAAGTTGCCTTAAGCAGTCATGTAGAATTTGCCAACAAAAGATACCTATAAATACAAAGTTAAGGGTGCCCTGCAGAATCTTGTTATCTTCCGGATCACAAAGTTGGTAATTAATTTTCATTTCCTTGTTTAAAAATGGAAAATAAACGTATTTCCAGACACTAGCTAGCATCTACTGTGTATGGCTTCCTCACAGCGTTTACTCAAGGCATGCTATGCACTGTCTGCATGTGAGTAGCTCACTGCCTTCGTAAGACTCTGTTCACGTTCCGGTTTACATGGGATAGTCCCAGTTCCTATCTCTACTTCAAGAGAGAGTCCACAGATTCAGTTTACGTGGGTGCAAGAGAAGAGGCTCATAATCTCTGGAGGAGCAAAGTCGTGTGAGATCTTGGCACTTGCAGAAGCAGATAGTATGGGGCTTATGGCCTTTTCCGTACCTGCTGCCCTTACCTTTTGCTCATTCCCTGTTATTCCTACTCTTCTCTTTGAAAACTAATCCTCATATTATTTGTCCTTTATTGCACTCAGGTCCTGTGCTCCTCTGTTCTTCTCCCACTTCCGTATTTTCTAGTTTTGCCTCCCAACGTTGTAAGAATATGTAGGTGTTACAAGAACCTTACCATGAGGAGAAGAGAGGGTAGTGTCTAGAGGGAATGCCTTCAAGTTCGACAATTCAGAAAAGATGATCATGTTCTCTTTTCTTTCTAATTAAGCTTTGCTACCTTACTGATCAAAGGTGCTTGTTAGAGACAATTCTGTAGAGCAGCATTAACTTGTTAGTATTAGGCTATGTGTCCCTCTTAACGGGTAACTAAATAGTCAGTGGGGCACCAGGGCTACATCTGTACTAATAATTAATAAAGATTAAACAAAGGAGGTAGTCTCTGGCTTGGTGGCCAACTGCTGTGTCATGGGTTATGTTAATACAATGAAAGTATTTTTAACCCCCTCCCTACCACACACAAAGTATTGTCTGGGAACATCCCTACCTCTGCTTGTCTCTGCCCAGGCATTTGTCAAGGAAGGTACTACCTTTCTTGGGCCAAAACCGTAGCAGGGACCATGCTAAGGGTCTCATTGTATGGAAAGGTGTGGCCCAAAATTCAGGCCCATTGCTAGACTCCATTTTACAAGTAAAGAGGTAGCCAGATTCTCAGATGTTTAAGGCTCCGCAGTATAAGGAAAGACCCCAAGCACTGTTCCTCTGTTGGGATCTTACACTCAACATTTGTGAATCAGACCTTGCTGTTGTGTGCAGCTTCTTTGGAGAAAACTAGCCCAATTCTTTGCCTCTGGGATGCAGTTCTCAGAAATGTAGTTTTACCTGGAATACCACTGAAGGTGAGAGTTTGCAGATTTACCATTAACAAGAGGCTCATGGCAAGAACAAGCAAGTAAACATCTAAACATGCAGAGTTTCTGAATAAATGCTGCTTTCACTTAATTATGCATTCTTTCATCAGGGAAAAATACTGAACACGCTACCGCAGTGCTGGCTCACCTTCCTTTTGGAAGTCCTCATAGTCTGTGTACATTCAAGAAAGCCGTGTTCCTCATAGGGGCTACTATGATCTCCCTTATATGAGAGGGATAGAGATGATCCAGTTGCCAAGTTCTTTTTCCTCTGTAAATCATCAGAGCTTCTGTCAGTTGATTTCTTGATGAGTCCCTTATCAGATGATCAGATTTCTGCCAATTGACTTTGTTTCCAAGGCAACCACTCTCTTGACAAGCCAGTTCCCTTCAATAGTAGGTAACTTATTTTTTAGAATAGGTTGATTATATTTTAACTGCATAGTTCTTAACAAGATATTGCTGCTTAAGTTTCAGCCCTACATGAAAGTGAAGAGATAACAAAGAAGCAAAAGTCTCTGTAACTAAACTGGAGTTGGCAGCATGGTAAAGATACATAAAGGGATTTTATAATCTCTCACAAAATACATAGATTGTACATACTCCCTAAAGATAAGCCTGTTCACCATTCATTCTCATTTATGTACGTATTCAGTGTATTCTTTTTCTGAAAATAATGAGAGTTCCAGTTAAGCTGTTTAACTTATGAGAATGTTTCCCAAAAGTACAGATAGTTCTGTGAATACCAGCAGTACAGCAATCTGCTTTCCTGCTTGCGTAGGTCTCTAAACCAGTTGCTACTGGTGTTTAAGAAATCATAGGTTCAAACCAAACTTTTTTTTTTTACACAGTTCAGACTTTGACATGGTCTTACCCTTCATCTCGCATATATGGTGTTTCTGTCTGATAAGTGTTCAGGTTACCACATCCTTTGCTTCAGTGTCTTTTCTATTCAGCTGCTTTTGTTTCCTGCAAAACTTGTAGGATTGTCTTTGTTGAGGTTTCTTGGATTCATCCTGTGGATTTACATTTTAGGGGAAGAGGCACAGACAGGATATAGTTACAAAACTCTTTTTCTGAGGAAAGCACTCAAATGTCCATATTCCTATAGGCAGATCGTATCATCATGCCTACATATAATTCTGAAGATACTGATTTCTGAATATAGCTGGGTTAGTCTTAGGTGACTGAAATTGTTATTCTCTTGCTTATCCAGTGTCCTTTCAGGTTATAGTCTTGATTTCAGGGATGGCTGAACCTTGTAGAATCATTTCTTAAACTTTTAAAGTTTGTAGGACAAGGTATTCACATAAATGGAACCAAATTTTGATTTCTGTTAATACACTGAACTGTATTTAACGTGTGCTGTAGAAACCTTCTTTCTTACAGATGTCAGTCTATTTTAGAGTAGACATGCAAGTACTTGTTGCCGTGGTTTAACCTCAGTTGGCAACTGAGCACCGCACAGCCGCTTGCTCACTCCCCCCCCCCCCGATGGGATGGGGGAGAGAATTGGAAGAGTAAAAGTGAGAAAACTCATGGGTTGAGATAAAAACAGTTTAATACTTGAAATAGAATAAAATCATCATCATAATAACAACAACAACAACAATAATAAAAGAATATACAAAGCAAGTGATGCACAATGCAATTGCTCACCACCCACTGACCGATGCCCAGACAGTCCCCGAGCAGCGGCCCCCCCCGGCCAGCTTTCCCCAGTTTATGTACTGAGCATGACGTCACATGGTATGGAATGTCCCTTTGGCCAGTTTGGGTCAGCTGTCCTGGCTGTGCCCCCTCCCAGCTTCTTGTGCACCTCCAGCCTTCTCAGTCAGTAGAGCATGGGAAGCTGAAAAGTCCTTGACTAGTGTAAGCACTGCTCAGCAACAACTAAAACATCGGTGTGTTATCGACATTATTCTCATACTAAATCCAAAACACAGCACTGTACCAGCTACTAGGAAGAAAATTAACTCTATCCCAGCTGAAACCAGGACACTTGTCTATTTTTTTTTAAAGCATTGCTTCCCCAGAGGAGTAGGAATTGCCATATATGAGCTGAAAAAAATTCAAGATAGTTTGTGTAAGCGTTTGGATTTTGGAGCACTTAAATCCTCATGCTGTAAAAAGAAAGCATTATTCACTGTTAGCCATAATGAAGCAAGTGTTCCTCTGTAATGTGATTGCTTGGGAAATTTTTGACTGATCACAGTGAGCTATCCAGTCCCTTTTGTAGGGAAGTGATCTTACAAAAGCTTTGTCTTTTATTCTGTCTCCATCTGTTGATAGGATGACTTACATCTTCTGTCTGGACTGGCAGACAGGATTTAGGCACCAGTCCAGCAAACCACTTAAACAACAGTTTAGCTTTAAGCCTTACAGCAACTAAATTAACAGGTTAAAACAAATTGAAATAACATTGCTAACACACTACTGTTACCTTTAGAAGGAAATTTAGGAGGTTAGGTTGTATTGGTACATGAACTATAAATGGAATAAGAAGCGTTAAACATACACTGAGAATAGAAAACATAGATTAAGACCTTTGTCTTGAGTACAGAATTTAAAGGAGGAAAGATTCCTGTTTAATAGCAAAGAGAGTCTATATCTTGTATATTTCTTTTAGATCGGTGCTGCTTGAGTGTGTAGCTAGACAAACAGAATAGTTTTATCACATGGATGTAGTAGTTTCTTCTGGCCAAAGAAAGACAATCATACAATCAGCAGGAATTATGGCATTACTCACTGTTGCTTTACAAAGAAATGACAACATACGTGTTTCTTGTACTAACAGAACTAGTGACTACTACACGGTTAGCAGTAGTTCACAGGCAGACCTGGAAATTCTAATATTTACATTAAAGGTTGCTAAAGTGCTAAAGTGAAAATTCTTCTCATTAAATCTTTTAAAAGTGTTAATTCTATCAGAAGAAATCACTGTCCTTGTGAGTGGATGAACTTACAGTTTTAAGCTAGTTGAGTTTATATTCAGTTAATGAAACTGATGATAAAATAAAAATTGGCTCTTTCTGAGTTTAGTTTGGTTCAGCTTTCAGTTTTATTGTACAAGTGGAAATGCTTTAGGTTTTGTGTTCCATAATGGTGACCTCTTGTGGTGTAAATATGTCAGTATTTCTGAAGGAGCTTTCTGTAATATGTACTGGAGGAAGTTTTATTTATATGTCATTTTTAATGAGCAGATTACCTACTAACTTAGTAAAATAGCTTATAATCTTCTCAGTTATTAATATGCAGATCTCATACTGAGTATGTGTGAAGAAAGAAGCATTCTGATATACTTTGTGTGTGTCTATACTGTATCTTTTAGTGACCAGATTAAAAAGCCTGGCAGAAGTTCATCATGGCCAAGGAGTACAGGCTGGAAGAGAAGAGTAACAGGTACTTCATAAGGCATTTCAATCTCCAGTCAAAAACAGTGAAATATAGTCAAATAGAAATAATCTAATTCTTGTGATTTGAAGATCTTTTTCTTCTTTATTCACTGACCAATATTTTTTGTTTTCTAGATGTATTGGGTTTTTTTACTGATGTTGGTAAAGAGAAACAATATTCAAGAGATCTTCACTCTAAAAATCTGTTGATATTTTCTCTCTTGTTTTTCCCATATGTAGGCTTAAGAATTTGCCAATCCATTAACACCTTGTTTGCTCATCACTTTTTGTAAACTGACATAGTTGCACAGGAACTAATAAAGTTATGCCAAGCTATATTAGCTGAAGATACAGATTCTGGATTGCCCTGTAGGGATGCATTTTGCTAATTTTACATAACAGATTTTAATTAAGGTTCCCTCATAGCTGGCACGTTTCATACATGGCATGTGCATATTTGAGAGACTGGTATGGAAACTTGAAGTTTCTACTCTGCTATTATTATGCTTTATTACGATTTTTCTAGAACTGAGAAGTTGCATTATTCTGGATCGTTCTGGTGAAGGCTGTAATGTGCTCTGCTTTCATTTCCTTCAGAGGAGCTGAGAGTATTTACCATGTCATGGGAGTTAGTATTCTGTGGGGCTGTATTTTCTCTGTTTATAAGCCTTTTAATTTATTTGTGCTATTTTATCGGCACTATTGAAAAAAATCATGTGTGTATTAGGATTGTTTCTTTTTTTCCCATTATGTAGCTTCCTTAGTTTGTGCATACTTCATCTTTAATCCCAGAATAAACAGTGGGATAGCAGTAGGAATTCTCAATCATTTCTTCTCTATAGTGAGGTCCTGGGGGTAGTGTTCATTTACAGATTATTTCTATTTTCTGATATGATTTGTGTTTATACTTTCACATTTTAGAGAGGAGGTAGATTGTTTTAATATTGATAGATTCGTAGCCACTCAGTATTCTGTGAAAAGGCCAAACATGATAAGTCAGGCATACACAGCTTTTGAAAGCTCAGTGTTGCTAAGGCTCTTGTATTTACATGCTAAAAACAGCAACCAATAAATGTAGACTGATTAGTGATTTTTTTTTTACCAGAATGCAAAGCTGTTGTTAAGACCTATGAAAAACTGAGACAACGAACTTCAACTTGCTGAATTCTTTTGCTTGAGTATTTTTGCTGTTGAATTGTGATTTGCTCAATCAGAAGGTTCAGGACAGCTTCTGCAATATTTTAAATACAACTAGTGCCATAACTTTTCATCAGCACCTTAAAAATCTCCCACGACTGAGACACATGCAAGTTTACAATTTATTAATGTTGCTTTTCTTTATAAACATGTATTTCCTGTTCATTCTTATTACTAGGATTAATATTGTTTAGTAAAAGCTGATTATCTTTATTTTTCCTAGTTACAAGAGATATTTGTTTAAAAAAATTATGCCATTATGACTTTTAGGTTGCTATATTTTTCTGATGAATGTGAGAGAACTGCAGCAGAGCGGCACAAAACATGAGTTCTTTTTGCTCTGAACTAAAAATTGAATGGCTTTGTTAATTTTTTTTACTGAGAAGTGTTTGTTCATATCTGAAAATGCGTACATGAACTATTCTATTTCTTGCTTAACTTTGTTAAGGATGTGTGTAGTTAGAAAGCCAGTCCCATCTTTCAGTTTAAGAGAGGTAGCTACAAATTGGAAAGAAAAGAAATAATTGAGTCAATATGTGGGCCCATGACTGAGACACATGCAAGTTTACAATTTATTAATGTTGCTTTTCTTTATAAACATGTATTTCCTGTTCATTCTTATTACTAGGATTAATATTGTTTAGTAAAAGCTGATTATCTTTATTTTTCCTAGTTACAAGAGATATTTGTTTAAAAAAATTATGCCATTATGACTTTTAGGTTGCTATATTTTTCTGATGAATGTGAGAGAACTGCAGCAGAGCGGCACAAAACATGAGTTCTTTTTGCTCTGAACTAAAAATTGAATGGCTTTGTTAATTTTTTTTCTACTGAGAAGTTTGTTCATATCTGAAAATGCGTACATGAACTATTCTATTTCTTGCTTAACTTTGTTAAGGATGTGTGTAGTTAGAAAGCCAGTCCCATCTTTCAGTTTAAGAGAGGTAGCTACAAATTGGAAAGAAAAGAAATAATTGAGTCAATATGTGGGTTTTGTGGCAGGAAGGAACAGTGCAAACTATTCTAGTGTTCTCATTTCAGCTGTGCTCTTACATTATCCGGAGCAGAACTTTCACTTCATTGCAAATGCTGCATAGTGTTTTATTAATTAAGCAACTCATCTATCTAAATAAGACTATTAACTCATTTGATCTAGAAAATAGAAAAGGTCTGCAAAATAAGGAATAATAATATTACCTAATAACATGTACTTATACTAATATGTATATCGGCACACAACAAGATATAGTTATTGTAATAATATACTTAACAGTGTATTACTTATGAAATAGCAGCATTTTTGTATAATCTGTTGAAATAGATATAATTGATAGTTTCATTCTGTGTAAATTATAGATAGACAGTTAAAGTTAATACAGATACACAAAAAGAGTCTGGTTTTTTTTTTAAAGAGCAAGCTTTTAAAATAGGAAGTTTTTAATTGTTTTACTGTTCGAAGTAGTGCTCAGTAGACAGTCATTTTTTTAAGGTCTGAGATACTATTCTCATGATGCAAACCTCTCAATATCGGTGTTCTCATGTAGTACAGTATTTTTTGTGTTTGATAATGATTATGTTAAGAATTTACATTGTCATTTAAATGCAAGAGCTAGTAATGAACGGTAGGAGACACTTTCTGACAAATCCGTCACTTAAAAAAACCGCATACTAGCCTTAATGGCTTTCTTCATGTTATTTAGCGGAGTCGTGTGACTTTTATTTCCCTATTTAAAAGGAAAAAAACCAACAAGCCAAACCCCATCTTTATAACAACAACTTTGGTTGCCTGCAAAATAAGGAGCTTAACCTAATCTTGAACTCCAAAAATATGCCTACATGCACCTTGTAAGCAATTGTTAGATCCTTTAAAACTCAAGTTGTGCAGAAGCTCTGGCTCTCCAGCTGTAGCGGGCCAATGGTCAAGACCAGAATTCTGTCACTTCACATAGTGCCAGGTGAATGTGAAAAGGATGTTCAGCAAGTCAGAATAATTCCCACTGATAATGCATCCATATGAAAGTCAATCCTGGAATCCATTTTTTAATAAACCATGTTTCACCAACTCCCTTGTCCAATCTGAAAACAGATCCACGCTCCCAGTCTTGTTTCCAGCAGAATTTCAGACCGCTGATCTTTTGTTCTACGAATTTTTAACTTGATGTCTGCTGATAGACTTTTTTTGTCTTTTCTTTTCGAAGCAAAGTATAAAAAAAGCTGAAGTATTTTTTAAAACTTCTCTTTGTGAAGTGGACAAGGTTTCTGATAATGAACAATAGCTCTTTCTCAGTCACTGTGGAGGAAGTTGGTTGAGGGTGGCCAAAAAAACTGGGAGTTGGTTTCCTTCAAGGTTTCTGACATGTTTAATGGAGGCAAAATGTCTTTCAGATATCTGTAGTTTGCTATTCATTTCCCAAGATGCTGTGTGAGAAATTGTTTAATGTAACAAAGAATAGGAGGGAAACAGGCATTTTACAAAAATATAGTCCAGACGTTCTCAAAACTAATTGCATGAAGTGGTTAGAATTGCTAACAGGATGTAATAAATAACAAGATTATTTTTCCCTAACTGACCAAAGAGTCAGTTAACCAAGCTTAACCAAGCTTTTACCAACTAGGTAAAATTGTACAATCCTAGAGGATTGTCTGTAGTATGGATATTTTTTAACACAGAATAAGCTGTCACTTGGACACAGAGCTGAAAATAGTAGGACATGTTGATGTAGAAGTATTCATTACCTTCCAATTCAGCGATCAAATGAAACATTAATGTCAGCAAACAAAAGCAAATCTGGCTTTACAGTACAGCTTTACATATCAAAACATTTATCCATCTAGTTTTGTTTGAAACTTTTGGTTTTGAGAAAATGTAAATAAAAACAAAAGCTTGAATAGGTAGAATAACCCAGAATATAGCAAAATGTGACATTTCTGGATTTTTTTTCTGACTGATGAATAAACTATTTGTAGCTATTTATTTGTGTAGAAGTTGAAACCTTCACTGAATGTGTGCTTTTGTTTTGAATGTATTTTGAAGGCTTAGAGGATGAAACAAGAATAAATGAATCAGAAGAGGAAGAAATCTTTTGGCATATAAAGATTCTACCAATTCTGCATGAACTAGAAAAAGGTGGGTAACACTGTTCTTGAAAGGGTGTATTTTCTGTACTATTTCTTGCAGGAAACATGGGACTCATTTGTGTTTACTTCAAAAGAATAACAGTAGTTGGACTGTGTAGCCTTTTATGCTTTCACATGTTCAGTGACTTTGCAATGTACAACTGGCCTGGGCAACTGTCTCTTGACCCTGCTTGAGCAGGGGGGTTGGACCAGATGATCTCCAGAGGTCCCTTCCAACCTCAACCATTCTGTGATTCTGTAAAAAAAATACTGGTTTAGAGGAGATCTTGTCTGATTAAATTACCTTATTTTAGACAACATAGCTCTGCCAGCTTAGCAGTCAGTGATGAGGCAATAATTTTAAGAATAAAGTACTGCACAGATTAACTGTTTTAAGCATAGACTTTATTGAAGGTCTCAATTAATTTTAGAAAACTAAGGAAATCTTAATGAAAATTTCCATTTGTGCTTAAAGTGTTAGATGTCTCAGAAAAGTATGTAATGACCCAGAATATTGAAGCAAAATTGAGTAAATTAAGTATGGCTTGAAAGATTGAACTCTGAAATCCATTTTAACATTTCATTCAAAAGGTTGTTTAGTTGCCTTCTATAGACATTATATTTCTTTGATTGGTGGGAATATAGAAAGTAGATTTGCTTTTACAAGTGGTTAAAAGTCAGTGTCAAATTAGGGGACCGATTCTGTTTTATGGGATCTTTTGCAGTGTTCATTATAGCATGGTACAGATTAGATTTTTTTTTTTTTGCATAATTTTGCAGACGTTGATGAGTATGAAACACCTATACAGTACTGAGTGATTCCCAAAATATATCATTATTTTTAAAAGACAGGATTCTCATTACCACATCTGTGACTGATGTGTAGAAAAACAGTGATCAGGAAATTTGAAAACGGCTATGCAGCTTCACATTTTCCTTGCTTAATGCTGAGATTGTCAAATAGGAGCCACTGAGTTAAAGTTTTGCATAGTGAGATGTTCTTTATAGGTAAGCAAAACATTATTTAGAGGTAAAATCTAATCATGTCTTTCCCTTGTCATGAATGTAACTAAGGAAAATCAATTTTCATGTCCCTTTTCCGCAGTCTTCACTTGATTTGGTTAGTGTGTTGGGTTTTTTTTAGCTTTTTTAAAAACTTGATTATGGCTTAGTTTTTCTAATAATAGATGAAATTATCTAATGATACCTTCTCGCCAGTTGATTGAATGTAGTACTACAAAAACCTTAAAGTTAAGAGTTTTGCTGCTTCTTGAATATTCACACAGATTGTAATTGAATTGCATCATTACCTCCTGCAGCTGCGTGTTATATTGCTTTATTTAGGCTATTTACTGCAGAATTGCAGTTTTTCCTATCAAAATGAATATTAGAATTCCATAATTTTCATGTTCTGAGTGGGTCTGTTGGTAATTCAATATTTTTTAATTTTGTGTGCAGCCGCTTGCTCCATACCTTTCAGCTAATTCCCTGCACATGCATTTAGGTCACATTTAGTTTTATATATATAAATAGAAAAGCCTTTTTCTTCCCCTTTCTCCCTCAAAAATGTTTCCAGAAAACTTTCCATTCAAAAACAAACCTGAAGATTAACCTGGAACTTAATTATTGTCTAAAATCTTATGAATATCATGCACTTGAGATGATTGGTTTATGACAAAACCAAATAGAACCCCTAAGTCTCTTTTTCTAGAGGAGCAAATACTTTATTTTGTTACATTCCAGTACTCAAGGGAGGATAAGCTTCAAAAATCCCCCATGGGATGAGTGATGAATATTTTTTGTTGTTGTTAATTTTCATGAAATGGAGTGGAAACCTTTCAATTTTGGTTCCTCACCACTCCTGTTTCACTGCTTACTGGAGCAGAGGGTTTAGAATCATGCTAGATTTTGTTAAATTTTCTGTCATGATGGGAGTAGACATGGAATAGTCATTGCTGTTCCTTGAGTATGATGATTGCAAATTGAGAGCTTCCAGGCACTGCTCAGCATGAGAGGTGGGTCCTTGAATCTGCCTACAGGTTTGGGGCCTTAGATATAATGGTGTTTGTCGTAATTTCCTGTTCATATAGATTTCATCACAAGTGCTTTGCCTCCTTGAATATGACTCTATTTCAGCTATGAAGTACATCCTGAGTAAATGCAGAGTTTATACAGGCAGTTTAAGTGGGTTTATATGGTGCTTTATTAGTGTCACCTTATAGACAAAAGCAAATGTAAGAAAAGAAAAAAAACCCCTCACTCTTGAATTCTAAAAATAGGCAAGACTTTTCCTTTTCCCTCTGAAGTAAGCATGTGCATGATTCTGTTGTGTTGAGATGCAGATTTTGTAATAATTTACTGCATATTTTATTTTTGTATTTTTTAAATAGTATCTGAGGGACTCAGGTTAGGAGGTAGATGACTTTTTTTTGTCAGTAGGCCAACAGTCCACTCAAATATATCTTGCATCTCTACTATGCATTGGAGAGTTCTAACGAGTTTTTACATTCACTTGTTCTTAATCCCAGCAAGATTTGATGTATTAGGTTATGTATACAGGCAGAAAAATATTCCTTAACTGTCTCTTTTTCACATGTAATGTTTGGTGGAGCTCTTTAAAGAATATATTTAGAGTCACAGTTTCCTGGTAGACATTTTGTCAATCTGATTATTAAGCATTAAAGGTGAGTTTCATTTTAGCTTTAGGTATTATTTTGGCTCTGTGATTTCTTGGCTTGAGTCTCTTCTTTTTGAAAGAGCAGAATAAAACTGTTTCTGAGGATCACGTTATCATTTTAAGAGATTTATTGGGCGCCTTATTTTTGTTGTTGTGCAACCCATTCTTTATTTTGTTCTCCTATGTCTTTGTCTATTGAGATGCTCTGGAAAAGGTGGCACTGATAATTATTTTTTTATTTTTCTCTCCCTTCCCACCCCCTTCAAGTAGAAGACAATATAGAAAATCTTTGTCTGGCTTGCACCAAGCTCTATCAAGCATTGAACGAAGGAAATATGCTTGGAAAAAGATTTAAAAGAAGAAGTGTGCTTCTGAAGACATTATATAAACTTGTAGACATTGATTCAGATCCACTTTGCCTGAAGCTGGCAAAGATTATTCTGGCTGTAAGTGTTTTAAAATGCTGTTTGGTAGAAGGTGAAGCTCAAAATCATGAATTACAATTTGCATTTAATTTTTCATTTCATACTTTTAAACTGTGTCTAAACTAACCCTTTCCTAAGCACAGTTTCTTGCCATATAGATACTAGTCTCCCATTCATCCAGATCGGCACTTGTTGGAGCCTATTTTTTGCGGAGAAATTACATCTGGGGGAGGAAGGAGGGACACAAAATAGGATAGCTGGTGTATGGTGGCAGGAATATTACTTAGGCATAGAAAAGAGACAGTGTCCTAAGCTGGGATACACATGCAGGGATTTAAACAAAACAATAATTTAAAAAACTACACATGGAAATGAAGCTTAGTTTTTTAATAATATCTTGACCTTATTAAACACCTTTATCTGAAAATACCAAAACAGTTTTTTTGGGACGTGAGTAAGTGTAATTATCTCTTTCTCTAGTATTTCCAGTTAAAACTCTCAATTAAGTTGGTGCTTTTGAACCTATTGGTTCAGCTTCTACTGAGTATGTATGGACAGTCACTGGTGAAAGGCTACCAGCTAGCATTGTGTTGTAGACATTTTAGTAATTAGTGTGTGTGTTGGGAGGGGTGTGTTCTCCTTTAAGGTAGTGTGTGTTATTTCAATCAGAAGAGATAATTACATATTCAGATACTACATAGATGTTAAGTGGTGCTTATAAAAAAAAAAAAAGTTCTGTTACAGACAATTACATATTCAGATACTACATAGATGTTAAGTGGTGCTTATAAAAAAAAAAAAAGTTCTGTTACAGCCAGATGTCAAGGGCAACAAGAAAAGATTCTATAGGTATGTCAGGGATAAAAGGAAGATGAGGGGAAACGTGGGCCCTCTCTGGAACAAAACGGGAGACCTGGTTACCCGGGATATGGAGAAGGCGGAGGTACTCAATGACTGTTTTGCCTCGGACTTCACCAGCAAGTGCTCAAGCCTCACCGCCCAAGCCACAGAAGGCAAAGGCAGGGACTGGGAGAATGAAGAGCCGCCCACTGTGGGAGAACATCAGGTTCAAGACCATCTAAGGAACCTGAAGGTGCACAAGTCCATGGGACCCGATGAGATCCATCCGTGGGTCCTGAAGGAACTGGCGGATGAAGTTGCTAAGCCACTATCCATCGTATTTGAGAAGTCGTGGCAGTCC